CAGAATTTACAAGTAGTAAAGAGCAGATAGGCAGCTCTGATTTTGAGCCCCTTGGAACAGAGGATATCTTTTTCACCTAGAAAGTATGTTCTCATCAAAGAATACTGCAAATGATGATTATAGTGTGGGGAGTGGGATTAATGACTAATAACGAAATTTAAATCTAGAGGAGCAGAAATGCTACTTTTTACAAGATATGTTAAGTACTGTGAAGACATGGAGGATAATTTCATGTTTTTAGTCATTAATATGAAAATATACTGATTATGGGATCTAATTGCACAAAGTATGGTGTGAGGTGCCTTAGAAATACAACTGGTTTTATCCATCTAGCTAGCAATTCCCAGTGCTGATTTTTAACCATTTCATGGTGATTTTTGCTTCTTGAGTTACTGCAATATTCATAAAGTGCTAATTCTCATTTCTTAAAAACTCTTACCTAGATCTCTGCTCACCAAATGATATACTAGGGCATAAAGGCATTAGAGGTGTGTCAAATTATTGTTTCCCCTCAGTCCTGTAGGTGACAGGACAAATTGAGTTAGCATGGAATTTGGGCCCACTGAGTCCTACAGCTGGTGACTTCCCCTGAAATAACCCTGGCCTCTGTCTTCAGTATTTCCTACAAATTCTGTCATTTTCTATGTGTGTGATGTGAAAAAAGTTGGGAAGCACTATCCTGAAGGCAAGTTTTACATGTTGTGAATAATTAAAGTTGGGAATGGAAGAATGATTGGAAAGAAATGTAATATTTTTAAAGACTATATGAGTCCACAAAATGAAAGTTGGTGAACTTGAAGATCATGGAGAAGTTTCTGGGATGGGTTATCTAAGGGTTGATTGTTAAGCACAGGAAAATGAAATAGTTATAATTTGCTGTCAATTCTAAGAGCAAATTACCATCTCTTTCTTACTGTCACTAGTTCAAGGAAATATGATTTCAGTAAGGATCTGGCAGAATTTTTATAATTTCACTGTTGACTGTAGAAAGATAGATAGGATGCTAGTATAATTAAGGTGGGATCTCTATCTGGTTGAATAAACATATGCAAAGAGTGTTGATTAATGAATGTCAGCCTGAAGGGAGATTTCTAATGGCATATGATAAGACTTTTCCCTTTTTCGTCTTTTCCATTTTTATTAGTTAGATTACTATATACAAGGAATGTGTAAAATGTTTGTGAGTGACTAAAGCTAGAAGGGGTAATGAATGTATTAGAGAGATAGTCTTGGGATCCAAAAAAAAGATCCTGTCTGACTAAAGCAAGTCTAATAAGACTGTAAGCTCTCTGAGGGCAGGATAGATCTTGCTTGCTGTTATTTTTACAGCTCCAGCATAGTGTTTGGTATGTAGATGAATCTGTTGAATGAATTAATGGAATTGAATAAAAATATTTGTTTCAATCAGTTGTCCTCATACTTCTAATTCTTCCCTTCTTGATAGTTGATGAGATTGTATTTCATGATTTCTTTTTTTTTTTTTTGTTGTGAAGGGCTTTTTAAAGAAATTTTGAAGAATCATCTTTTGCCCTTAAAGATTATATTCCTAAGGAAAGGAGATTGA